TCGTCGTCTGTTGTAGGCCTCGTCCGTCACCGCGCATTGGTCGTCCCTGCTGCAGCACATTCACGCCGATCGGTGGTGCATAATAATATTTTATATTTAATACATAGAAAGATTTTATTGCACTTATGGGAAAAAGAAAATGTTAACACCGCTGCCGCACACACGACGAGTTGGAGACAAGACACCAGTTAGGTTTGTCAGGTGTCCGTTGGCGATGGGTTTCGTGACTGAGCTACGGTTTATGTGCGTGTGCGTCCACGCCGCGTTTATATTAAATATATATATAAATTATCGTGTACCACGCACACGTCGAGCATATACACTATGTATAAATATATACGTATGGTGTGAAAAACTGGGAAATTTCTTCTCGGGGGAGATCGGTGGGAGTTATTCGGTCGAGCCTGTTGCGGTCTCGGCGTCTCTCCCCTCCGCTGCCACGGCGGTCCCCGCCTACGCCACCGCACAACAATTTCGCGGCGGTAGGACCCCGGGGGCAGTTTTAAGCGGCAATTAGCGCCGCGACTACATGGCGGCGTGGTGGTTACACTCGGTCCGGGATTCTGCGCGCCGGATGACACGCGGCTACTGCTGCTGCTGCTGATGCCGTCGACGCGGCCGGAACACGTAGTCTAACATATTATTTTTGCACACGTTTCTGCGCCACTGCGATAATATAATAACGATATATCGTCGTGTTGTCATGTTGTCGTTTTATCATAATATTGTATGTACAATGTATATGTATTGTTCGGCGTTCGTCCGGGAAAAAACGAATAAAATTTACGACGGCGACGATGGTTTAATGAGCTCTAAAAAGTGTCTATAAAGTACAACGAGATGTATCGTACAATACTACCATGACGCTATGTTTTTGTAAAAATAATAATAATAAAAAAAAACAGCGTCCCCGGAGAAAGATAAATAGTCGTAAAACCTGTAGGGTATACATTGGTTTGCACCCCGTTTTTTTTTAGCGTTCGCCTGTGTATAATTTAGATATATTATTTTGAATGCGGTTCTTGTTAAATGCTCGGAAAAATAAAAGCTTACAGATAGAAGTAAAAAGGGTGGTGCATTATGTGCTTAATGTACCACGCATCAATAAATAATAAGTGTCCATAAAAATATTAACCGACAATCGACATGCAACTTGTCGATTATGGGTTCTAATTAAGTAACTATACTTTCCAATCCTACATTATAATTAGTATATATATATATTCTGTAATAAATTCAGGTTTAAACTCAAGGATTATATGGTAGTGTTTTAAATTTATAATCGTATTTTAATACATGCCGTTTCGGGTGATCGCGTGTAAGCACAACTTTATATAAACATACTCGATATCATTATATACTTGTACATTGAACGGTATTAAATTGTCTTAATCCTACGTCGCCATTTTGTTACCTCAAAAAATCCTTTTTGTATTATCATAATTTGTAAATACGTTCAATAGAAACTTGTATGCCTGCTAATCGGTTTTTTTTATAATATGTTTGATTAGGTCCTTACGGCTTTTGCAACTCACATTTTGAAATATATACATTTGTTTTGTTTTCAAATTAGTTTTACCGACTATTTTTTTGTAAGTATATAGTTGTACAAACAATGCTTTTGAAAAAAGTTCCTTAAACGAATATAAGTTACCAAAATCGTACATTTTATTTTCTTAAATCACAAAGGTCTTTTTCGTGTTTGGAAGTGTCTAATACGACTAATACTTATAGTTTAAAGTATAAACTCTATACATATGTATACTACCCTAGCTATAGTGCCAAGTTGTCATTATTTTACACGTCACGTCCATTCTGCAACACGAATCACACATTGATCCGTAATGTGTTATCTAATAATATCTATGTTATATAGAGTATAGGTACTGCATTGGTACGTATAGCTATTTATAGTATGTATTTACCAATATATAATATTTGTCTTCATTCAATTTTTTTTTATGTAGGTATGTATTTTACCTTTACTTACTTACTTATTCCAAACATTTTCTTTTTTAGTTTTTCCGACTAGCTGCAATAATCATAAACAGAATATTTAGCCATTTTTTTCTTTAAAATGTGACAAGCTTCTATAATTACTCTTTAAAATACGCAAAAATCAATAAATTCCAAGCATCATATTATGACGATGGTTATTTCAACGAATATGTAGGTTATGTAGGTACGTCGTGTTCCAGTTTAGCGCTAGACAAGTCGTCCCATAATCAATTTGGCGGTAAACATTGTGTCTGAGTGACATTTTTCATGTATTGATATATGACACGTCGAAGACCATGTAATTTTAAATGTTATATACATTTTCCTGACTTAAAAAAAAATTATGTAAGCTCTTTTTGCATTCTATTTAGAAATTCAACGACAATGCAAAAACAAATTGAAACACCTTAAAAAAAAAGATAAGATAACAAAGTAATAAGTCACTTTACGTAAGATAAACCGGCAATTCCAAAACTTTTACATATTTTTCACTGCACTAGACACATTTATAATATGCATATCACACATATTTCATGCATCCCAACTATCATTATTAATAATATAAGTAGGCGCATTACGATTAATGGGTATTGAATATTTTCATGGTTCTGCTAATATTTAATATTCCTAATTAGTAATTACGGTTTAAAATCATAATTTGATAAGTATGGTATGTCAATATTTAACGTGATATAGTGAAATTGTTTGAAGATATTTGATAATTGACTTTACATTTATATAGGTAGATGTAAAATGAAAAGTTAATCAACTTTTGCTGGTAGTGTAGGTACAGACGGTACAGTGCATCGTTATATATTATAAAGTCATACTTATGTTTTATTAAAACATTTAAAACATAGTATAAATAACGTCATGGGTAGGCTTATAAAAATATGATAACTGCAATTCCAAAATCTCGAAAACATATTATTTTATATTAATAAAATACAATATGCATAATATAGAATAAAAATCCCTCGCCTAGAGAAGACAAGCAGTTATAGCAGTTGTCATTGGATTCTCACTTCTGTAAACTTTTGTAAATTATTCAAATCGACTAATATTATCGACTACCTAGCGCATACGACGCATAAAATACCTTTGTGAAAACTAATATTTCATATTGGTAATTAGGTACTAATCTAACGATTAGGCATTGTCTGCATTTTAAACAGTTGTATACTATGTTTGCTAGGTGTATTTAACAATATTTGTGTTTTGATTAACACATGTGATTGAGTAAAAATATTTTATATAGGTACTGTGTATAATGTAATGTCGTGATTTTTATATTGTTGTAATACCTATATACCAACATAAATACCTACCTACAATTTAATCAAGTTTGAATTATCTGATCATATTTGAAATGTCTAAGGTACCTATACATATTTTGTACATATAAAATCAATGTACAATTTATGATGTACATTTAAGTTGCTTGTACAAGTAATTTTTATCTAACTTCTGAAATTAACAATTATAGCCTAAAATATATATTTTTTAATGTGTATCTAACATTCACTTTATCTCTCAAAAAATATTTAATTGTAACATATATGTCGACATATCATTAAGTGGTATGGCTTATAAGTAGAATTTGTATCCTTTTTTCTCGAAGTAGGTAGGTATAAATATAGTTTTCGTCATAATTCATTGTAATATTAATAGAAAATAGATATCAAAAACGAACGTGACTGTTTTGGAAGTTTTCTAAACTCCACTCGGAATATTATGCAGTCTGCGATTGATAGTATAACATATTTCGTGGTCGTACCTACGTTTTTTATACTTGAACGTGAAAAAAATCAAACAAACAAATGCGTTTCAATCGACATAGGTATTGTTATAGCGAACAGAGACTTAAGTATAGCTATCGATGATCGTAAAGTACACGAAAGTCTCTTCCCGTTAATCTAAATACACGATAAAAAAAAACTGAAAGCCCTAAGTCGCGGATAATACGTGTCACATGGTATATATTATGGTGATCGTCGTCTCCATCGTCGGGTTTACTGTCGTTAGGGCCATATCATACAGAACACAGAACACGACAAAGCGCGTATGGGGCAATGCTCGCACACTGGCGTTGATATTTTTTTACCATTATTTCGTGTAATATATGACGTGTACCGCGTGTCCGCCGCGCCGCCGTCGACCTTGCAAATTTCTTTTCCTTATCGCCGACGCCGTACACGCCGTTTTTACACGGTCCTTATACCCGACATGGGGTGAGCGTATATTATTATACCTACACAAAAATCCATTACATATAGGCAAATATACCACGGTCGCGTACATGCAGGTGCAGGTCGTCGCCGTCGTCGTGGTCGTCGTCAGGGGTTGCGAAAACAGCTTCACGGGCTATTTGCGCGGTATGTGTCGTATTTCGAACGTGTCGCGCGTATTTCTATTGTGTGACGACCATGTATATTATGTACGTACATATACGCGCGTTATACACGCGTTTGGTGAATTTTATATACATTTTTTTCTACCTACTTGTGACGAATCGCGGACGACGGTGCGGGCGTACGGTATACGTACATACGTACGTACGGTATGTACTCGGAGGTCGACCATTATTATCGTAACCTTACGCTGACAGAGAGAAAAAAAAAAGGAAAATTGTATGTATATGTATATAATATGTGAAAAATGATTTTCCGCCCGCTCGAGGCCGTTCGAGGCCGCGGCTCCATTGCTGCAGCAAGTGAGTGCGTGTTTCGAAATCGCCGTCACTGTGAAAGGTGCACACCGCCGCCTGTGTGCGACGGGTTATTGTTACCGTGGTACGGTGCCATAGTGGTAGTGGTTGACAGCGACGACTACGGTGGTGGTGGTGTCGTGTTACCCGCTTTTCCGAGCCGATTTTCCCACCACCGTGGGATTTTGGTTTCATATATAAACTCCAGACGACCACAGCAACAGTACCACATTCAGTCTTTCCTTCGTTTGACTAACAATATAGTGACAATACAGAAATATACAGTCAAACAAACATGGGTTCCATAACTCCTCTGGTAAGTACAATTTTTCTCGTTATATTTTATATACCTACTTACTTACTCTTTGAAGTACAGTAATTTCATATTCGAACGTGAATTTTCTATACTTTTTATAATTTGTATTCTCTATACATCATACTATTAAAAATTTGCCATATACATGTATCGTATTCGCATGTCGCCGTTCTTTTTCTATATACCGTAGTATATGAAGTACATACATTGAAGGAATTTTTTTACGAGTTAAATCGCACTTTTAAGTGAATATACCACACCGCAACTTGTACATCCGATGGCGGTACCTTGTATATAAAAACAGTGTGTTCGTAATATATATATATAGGTACATGTAAACGCCGTTTGGGTTTTTATTACAATTCCAATAAATTTTTATTAGTCTGCGACCGTAAAAACCCGCTCCCGTATTCTCCCGACGACGACCCACAGCGTGGACGGCGTTCCGTGTAAACAACCAAGTTTTTTGCTCTTATTTTTTTCCGTTCAGCGTCCCATAAAAACCTCCTAGGGCGAACGACGTATAAACTCAGTATAAGGGACGCGCCGCTTCGTTACGGATCGTAAAGTACTGGCGGTCTACGTCGCGATCGTAAAAAGAAAAGAGAAGAGAAAAAACCGTGCACACACACACACACACCGATAACACGTGTATACGTGATATACGTGTGGCAGGGAAAAAGTACAAAACTAGTCGTAAAGTTTTATGAAACATAAGTAGAGTTGGCTTTTTAATGTTTTTCAAATAATTTGTTCGAGGTTTTACGGCTTTTCGGCAGTGGATTTTTATTGCTGCAGCTAGCTTCCCCGAACAACCACCTCACGCAAAAACCACCACCACTACCACCACCACCACTTGGTGATTCGCGTATACGTTCCTTAACCGCTGCCGGCAAACCACACACACACACATATATTACCCGGAAACGACTGCACGACGACACGTATATTTAATATATCTAATAAAAATACACCGTTTAAAAATGTTTTACAGATAACTATCGCATGTTTGGTCGGCTTGACGTCTTTTGGTGCGGCCAAATTGAGCGATAACGAAGTAGCAGAAGGGTAAGATTCGTCGATTGCGGTACACTATTTATATATTATAATGTTGTTAACCGCACACGCATTCGTGTATGCCGTACAACATAATATACGTGTTTAACCGTCACATAGTGTTATATTTGTACCACGCTCGTCGTGTGTATAGGTAATAATAATAAGTTTAATTTTTTTCGTCTGTGTAATATTATATATAGAGTCATAAAGCACACGCATTACCATACCGGTGACGTGGAACACGCGCACAAACATGACGGTGAGGCACACCACGAGCACCACCACAAGGGAAGCGCCGAGCACGCCCATCACCATGGAGGAGAATTCGGTCACGGACATCACCACGGAGGCGAGTTCGGACACGGGCATCAACACCACGGTAGCGCAGATCATAAGCACCACCACGGCGGTGAGTTCGGTCACGGGCACAAACACCACGGAAGCGCGGAACATAAACATCACCACGGCGGCGAGTTCGGACACGGTCACCATCACGGCGGCAAATTCGGTCACGGGCATCAACACCACGGTAGCGCAGATCACAAGCATCAACATCACGGCAGCGCCGCACACAAACATCACCATGGTGGAGAATTCGGACATGGACATGAACACCACGGAAGCGCCGAACACAAGCACCATCATGGCGGAGACTTCGGACACGGACATCAACACGGTGGCGAGTTCGGACACGGGCATCAACACCACGGCAGCGCAGATCACAAACATCACCACGGCGGAGAATTCGGGCACGGACATCACCATGGTGGCAAATTCGGACACGGACACGAGCACCACGGAAGTGCCGCTCACAAACATCACCACGGAGGAGAGTTCGGTCATGGACACGAACACCACGGAAGCGCCGCACACAAACATCACCACGGCGGTGAGTTCGGACACGGCCACCATCACGGCGGCAAATTCGGTCACGGGCATCAACACCATGGTAGCGCAGATCACAAGCATCAACACCACGGAAGCGCTGCACACAAACACAGTCACGGCGGCGAATTTGGACACGGACACGAACACCACGGAAGCGCCGAGCATGCGCATCACCACGGAGGTGAATTCGGACATGGACACCACCATGGTGGCAAGTTCGGTCACGGACATCAACACCATGGTAGCGCAGATCACAAGCACCACCACGGTGGCAAGTTCGGGCACGGACACAAGCACGGTGGTAGCGCCGAACACGCTCACCAACACCACGGCAAGGCTGCTCACGGTCATCACCACGCTGGTCACTCCAAACACCACCACAAGCACACCGTCTAATATCACTTCGCTCACCCTCCGACGAAGACGGCCGCGATCACTAGTCGCACCATATCGTCGTATTAACGACTCCGAAAGGACGAAGTCGGCACTCGTCTCTAACTCCTGCCCCCATCATCCAACCCGCTGCATTTGGTATTGACTTTATGAATATGGTAAAGGTAACGGGTTCTTCGATTACTTGTTTCCAAAATGTCCTATTTCCGTCTCATCTTCTTATCTTATATTTCCAATTTCACTTTAACTCTCTTTCACTAATATATCTTTCACCTATATATATTTGTCTCCCTATTTCGTCGGCGGCGTCAGATGTTCCCGCTGTTGTCAATTATTACTACTATCGCCGCCGTCAGTGTTGCTGTTGATGTTACGGCAAGTACCTTCTCAGCGCTAATTTCGGTATTCCTAAATACAGAAATGTATGAACTGTCGTTACTACTTGTATAACTTAAATATTTGTTCTGTGATAATTTTAAGTGCTCATTTTTAATGATTTATTGTTATTACTACTTATCGTTGTAATTGGGTCTTTTTATACGTATATATTAGTGCTATTCTATAATAATATGTTATTTCAGTTTAGGATAGACTAATCAAAATTGGCGGTGTAGCTTCCGGTTTCTTACTGTTTTATTATATAAGCATTGTATTTTATCGTATAGGTATCTACATATTTACGTATACAATATTGTAATGTTTTATTATTGTTACCAATGTCAAGTTGTTTTGTTATATTAAAATGTTATTATTGGTTATATGAATTGTTGCTGTTCTTGTCGACTGCTGCGGATCTCGGATCGCGCTCGTTCGATACATTAACTCATCTACTGTAATACTAAATCCATCTCTCTATCTATACGTCTATATATACCGTAGCAACGTCATAATAATAATATATAATAAATAATAACATTATATTCTATTAAAATACATGTCCAATTATCGCGCCTTTATCACGTGACGGTGATAAAAAAAAAACAATATACAGGGTGATTTTTTTATCGAAGAACACTCATTATTTCAAAAAGTATTAATGTTTAAGAAAATATTTTTTTACATAGTTTCAAGTTGTTAAAAAACAATATTTTTATTAAAAAATTATATTTTTAAATATTTTTTATCCTTTTAATTTTTTAAGTTTTTTACTTTTTTGAATGACAACATCTAATTTTAATTTGATATTCAAAAACAGAATATTTTTCTGATTATTTTAATACATAAAAATTGAATTTAGGGCAAGTAGTTTATGAGTTATAAGTATTTAAAGTTTAGATGAGCGGAGTAGAGGACAAACATTTCGCGGGGTAACCCCGTACCACTCTACTCCGCTCATCTAAACTTTAAATACTTATAACTCATAAACTAATTGCCCTAAATTCAATTTTTATGTATCGAAATACTCAGAAAAATATTCTGTTTTTGAATATCAAATTAAAATTAGATGTTGTCATTCAAAAAAGTAAAAAACTTAAAAAATTAAAAGGATAAAAAATATTTAAAAATATAATTTTTTAATAAAAATATTGTTTTTTAACAACTTGAAACTATGTAAAAAAATATTTTCTTAAACATTAATACTTTTTGAAATAATAAGTGTTCTTCGATAAAAAAATCACCCTGTATAATATATAACATATATATAAGTACAAAAACGTATTTATCCGTATCATTGTACATAAACACTAGCGCATTTCACCGAAGTCATTATAATAATACTATATAATAATATACATTCGTAAACCACCACAGTAAGTCATAAAAACATAGCTTTATGTAACTGCAACGGCGGGTACCTATATATTAGGTATATATATATACAAGACTAAATAGTGTTTATCTTTCCACGTACAACATGAGTACTCCGTCGATATACGACACTACAACGCTGCATTAACCCAATGATAACACGATGTGGGGTTATTGGACCGTTTAGCCTTAGGCCCGTTTCACATGGACGCGTATCATACGCGACGTATCGTACGCGCGCGTTTTAATTTACATTGGTCAAATTCATACGCGCCACTCCGACGATGGCGCGTTTCCCTCGCCGGTTTGGCGCGTATGAACTTAATCAATGTAAATGGAAAACGCGCGCGTACGATACGTCGCGTATGATACGCGTTCATGTGAAACGGGCCTTATATTGCTGCACAAAATTGTCGTCTGTAATTTCCGTGTCGAATAATGATTTTCCACGTTTTTTTCCTTCCAACTCCCCAGTGTGTTGCACGCACGTAACCCGCCCAATTGTATCTTATGAAATCCAACATAATAATATAATATACTATTATCTCTATATATGCGCGCCTCACGTTCAGGTGTACTTATCGTTCACCGTCCACGTCTACATTTAGATCACATAACAATACAAAGACTAATGTAGATTTGTTTTTTTTCTTGTGATTTACAGGGCCCACCACAGCCGGGTCAGCCGTTCAAGTTTACTATTGGCGAATCATGTGACCGGATCAAGGAAGAGTTCAATTTCCTGCAAGCTCAGTACCACACGTAAGTGTTATGATAAAAGCTCCACAATATATACAACAATAAGGACAATATTTTTTACAGTACAAAACATTTATAATATCTAGGAAATGTTTTAAAAGACAATTTCAATTTACATTCACGTGTATAATATTATAGGTACCTACCTATATAACTGCAAAAAATCTCGTATATTGGATATACCTGTCTCCTATATGTTGTTTCGTGTAGGCATATAATAATATAATGTCATTATTGTTCGGATATTAATTATGGTTGTGAGGGGGGTGGGGATGACCGATATTCGGTATATATAATGTATATTTTCATCGGCGTACCCACGACGTATATACCTACGGATAATCGAGTTGCACACGTATATGTATCACGTACGGTTTGGTTTTCAGCCTGAAAATGGAATGCGAAAAATTGGCCAGCGAGAAAATCGAAATACAAAGGCATTACGTAATGGTGAGTGAGCGTGAAGGTCCCGGACAATTAATTATGTAGCATGAACAACCGCTGTACGCAATGCTTAAGAGCCATTGATATTGTCGTCGGCATTAACAACAACAACAACAACAACCACCCCTTAATGCCTGTGAAGTCCCTCGAAATATACTTGCTATCAAGGCGTCATAGGCACACACAAATTAAATAATTACATAATATAATACAATTCATATTTTCGACTCTCTTTTTTTCAAATATTTGTTCATATAATATCATCCTTATTCGTATGCACTTATACGAGTTGATCTGTTTGAAAAGCTAAATTCATTTTCCAAGTTGATCTTTGTGATTTTGAAAAATAAAAATTTTACATTTGAAATAGGTATTATTTGACTAGAACATTTTTTTTTTGTCATAGTAGTTCCTTAGGTTCAATTTTTAAATTCATAAACCGGAGCAGGTTACTACGTTGATAAATGTCGAAAATAATGTGTAGTCTTTTATTAAAATTGTTGTGGTCCACTCCTTTTACTTAAACTTAAATAAATAACTATTTTTTCTTTATTTATTAGGTATTCACACCTCAACATTTTTTTAGGAAAGTATAATATCCTGCTTCCGATTATGAAATTAAAAATATAGATTATTCCTAAAAACCTAAAATATAACACAATCATAAAAAATGGATTGTTTATAAAAATATAATGTTATAAAATATAGGTACTTACATTGAACTTCTTATATAAATAGGTACTATTGTTAGTTAAATTGTTTTGAAAGCCATTTAAATATATCGCCTTGTATTTATATTAGTTATTATTTATTACTTTATTAGGTATTTGGGGGGTGCTATGTTGTATTATTTTGGTTATAACTATTAAAAAGTTTAATATTCGTTTTGATTGATAGTAATGATAATACCTAGTCTGTTAACACATTATTAAAACGATTAGTATATAATATTTAAAATATTAAAAACGCCGTACTCTATGTACTAATACGTAATTCACTATGGCTACACATTAAACTAAAAATAATACTTATGTTATATGTGTGTGGTGTTTTGCGATGAGTATTATATTTTTTAAAATACATCATAATTAATATAGTTAATATAATCACTGCAGCGGTACAACGAGGTATATTAGTTAAAATAAATATTTTTGTGACTATATAAACATAAAGAGTGTTGGCGAGAAAGGTATATAATATACAGAGAAAAAGAAACGTTTTTGGACGATGAATTCGATATTTAAATCCGAACATCCCTTATATTTGTTTTGTCTGTATTGTTTAATTTTTTGTTTTGTTTAATGTTTTTTTTTTACATTATACTAACAATGCTTGTTTATTTTTTGGGTTTGTTTTTGTTTGTCCCTCGCCCATCAAAACAGTACCAAAATGGAAGTCGAAAAAATCGTCCAAGAAAAAACCGAAATGCAAAGGCATTATGTGATGGTGAGTACAGATCACTATAAATAGTGTTCATCAAATGCTTTTATTATTGTGTAGCTTACAGCCATTGCTTTCGCATGCGTAATTTTGTCATCGTTGTGGTTGCACGAAAACACGATTTTTACAAAAATATTATTGTACCCAACTATGCTTGTTTATTCAAAATAAAAACATTGTTTTAAGTAGACGAAAATAACGTATTTGTCCACTCGATACACCAATAAGTTCACGTCATGATTACCCAAAGTGAGCTGAACTTATCTTTGCGTAATCGAAAACTTATTTTCATTTCAAGTATATTTAACATATTATTAGCTTTGACGAGCAGTGTGTTTATTATTTATGTATCCCGAATGTTTCCATCCTGAACAAATAGTTCGACGACTTCTAAGAGTTCGAGTAGGTAGTTTAAATGTTTAATTAAGATAACATTTAGATGTTAAACGCTGCACATTTCTCCTCTGTATAAAACAATATAATAAATAATACACCCTGAATTTATAAGACGTTGATCATACTGTATAATATATAGGTATGCTGGGTACACATACTTTATTTGGACGACTAAAATTCAATTATTCGGATTTTTTTTCTATTTACGATTCATTGCTTCCCTCTAATGGAATATGCATCGCGAAATGCTCTTAACGATTTCTATGAACCTCTTATAAAAACGCGTGTTTACATATCATTATTATTTTATATATAAAAAAAAAAAACAGTTCTTGTCATTGTAACGCTTGTCTTTCGATTGGCTTAACGGTATTTCAAGAGACCATGCCGCGGCTCCAAAACGTCATTGATTGTTGATACAAATGTCGTCGAGTGTATTTGCAGTATTCTAATCAATTGTTTTTTGTTTATTTACAGTACTACGAGATGTCCTACGGCCTCAACGTCGAAATGCACAAACAGGCGAGTTTTTAATTATAAATTATGATAAATATTATATATTTTGTCTTTTCACCTTATGTTGTGTATGATAACGCCTAGAAATCTCAATCATTTCACCTCCCCATTCCAGCCCAAGACTCCATGTTTTTTTTTTTAATCCCGTTATGACTGCAGAGCAAATTTCTGGCAAAGGGTCGTTAAAACCGTCATCCCACTGAATTAATATTTCGTTTTGTACAAAACGCCGGGGGAGAAATATGGAAAGAACGGACATACGTGGGGGAGAGAGCTGTTTGCTATACATATATACTGCGGCAGAAAAAGGGAGCGGAGGATTTCTCTCTTATTTTTTCACTCTACCCCTGCTGTCAGCCGCTGTAAATTCATTTCGGCGAAGTAATCGCCCGGACTGTTTTCCACCCTAGTACTTTTTTTTCAACACAACGTAATCTTCCCAATCCCTCCGGTTTTTTAACGAGTCCCCGATTAACTCGGAGCCCAAAATATCGCAGTGCGCTCCCGTATAATAATAACAATAAGTGCCCCAGAGGTATATTTCCCGTCGTCGAAACACATTTCAGATTCTGCCACGGTGGTTAATCGGAGGGGGTGCGAAAGAAAAAGTATGAGGGGCTGCAGAAAGGAGAGAGATTGCTCAACGTGACAGCTACTGTTACACCAGTGGTGTGCAATTAATCGTAGTGTATTTGGCTGCTAAACATTGCAAACTATACTTAAAGTATAATAATATATACCACTTTTATTATTACGACCACTATACTACACTATTATATGATTTTCGAGCGAATTATGACCATAAATACGACGGTGATTTTGTTGTGTATATTTCAGCGTGTGTATAAAGACATATACTAAATATTATATTGATTTGTCGTAGTGTGAACAGTGATGCTGCGGTTTATACGTAAATACAATGTTGCGTATATCTATACTATACCACACTCGAGTGTTTGATATACGCGTACTTTAAGTGACGCCGTTTGGCGGCGGCCGATCGGCGTGGGTTCCTGCTAAAAGTATATATGTATATACGCATATACGATGTTTAGTGTAGATGCGGTGCGGTGTGTACTTTACGAGTAACTGCAATAGGAAAGTTGAAGTTGAAAAAGTAGAAAAGAAATATATAGAGGAATGACGAGATTCGAGGGTAAAAGAGAAAGAGGGAGCAAAAGTGCGATAGAGAAGAGAAGAGTAAAAAAAGAGGGAAAAGTATATATATTAAGCCCTTCTGACAAAAGGAGAGCGCAAACCGGGAAGCGGCTTATTTATATAACCAGGGTGGGGTTTTTCCTCCCTCATAGCTATTAAAACTCAGAGAGTTGGCACATATTACAAGGGTCGTTTGCGCGTTCTGCGTGCAGGGGCGGTGGCGGTGGTGGCGGCGGCTGTCCCGCACCACTCGTGTCGAGTGGCAAAGCCCGAAGGAAAACATTATACCCGCGAAACACTCGAGCCTTGACGGTTTCCCGTTCTCCTCCATCCGACCCTACCCGTTCGGAGCCACCGCCGCCACTGTATACAAGACCATGCACCGGTGGCGGTGGTGACGAACGATGAGGGTAGTGGCAAAAAGAGGGTAGCTCGCTCACGTAATACCGGAGGGTGATAACACGAAACCGTTTCACCCCGGCAACGACGCCACTGCAGTAGCAATCAGTATATATAAGCTGTTATTCCACGGCATTTATAATATATATTACATAAACGGGCTGTTTGTCGTCATCACCGTCCCCCTCAAGCTCACGCATATTATATACATTGAAAATAAAAACAGTCAACCCTCATACCCTCTCATCACCCATCACTGACTGACTCTAATTAATTTCCTGCGCGTAATGTCGTTAACGACGTGTTGCGGCTATGCGCGCTAACTCCCGATGATGGAGGAGGAAATCTCGGTACGCTGTATATATAAATATATTTATGTGGGTGTACAAAATATTAATTCCTAACGATAATATTAATTTTAATTTTAATTTTTTGTAGACGGAAATTGCGAAGCGTTTGAACGCCATCATCGCACAAATAATGCCTTTTCTCTCGCAAGAGGTAAGTGACTTCGTCATATCTGTTGATTTTTTATTTATCTAATAAATATTATCATGAAACGAGTTTCACATTATATACACATGTAAAACACCCACACAGGAAAATAATGCATTTGTTTTGCGTATTGTTGCAGCACCAACAGCAAGTAGCCACGGCTGTAGAAAGAGCGAAACAAGTGACCATGACCGAACTCAACGCCATCATAGGGGTAAGATATTATATAAATATATAATAATATAAGAGTATAATCAACGTATACGATATAACGTGTAATAGCAGTAGTTTTTAGGTGTGTAGGGTCGTAAAAACGAAAAAGGCGATGCTGGCTTGTGTGTTGGGGGGGGGGGGGGTGGTTGAAAAGGGGGAAGAAAACACTAACTTTTCGATTTTTTTTCTTCTCCGTCTCTCTTGATACTAATATTGTACCCACGTCGCGTTGTCCCAGAAGCAATTAAACGACGCGTCGTGTGGCAGCAGCAATAGTTGTTGGTTTTTAGGAATACGAATACCACGCGTGCAGTATGGTCGTCTCGCGCGATGGCGGCGATGACGACAACTACAGCGGCGGTGGAATCCGTCGGGCCGAAATCCATTTGGCCAGTCTGGTCACGTTCGCGTCGGAAGTTCAGGACGTGGCGGCGGCGTCGGCGGTAACGCGCGTTGAATATTGTATGAACCTATTTCGGAGGCGCGTCGCGAATAAAACGTCGTCGTCTACGTGGGCATATGAAGTAGTGGTATTAAGGGATGGCTTGATACAGGGGGTGAAGGTGCGAGATCGTTGCTGTTATATATATAATATATATATTGGAAGGAAGAGAAGGCGTGCGCATGTAACGAGCTCGGGCTCGATATTGTCGTCCCGAACTACGTGAGTCTGTCGATTTCACCCCTCATCCCGCCACGTTCTTAGCTATATGATTCCGAGGTTATAATACAATATTATTATATTGGGTTATACCAGGGTCGGTATTATTTTTTATTTCACTATTATTATTGTTTGCCGTTTGATTCGTCCCGGTGTACCACGATTCAGTTGAGATGGGCGTAATTAATCTCGACGAAAAAAATAAACCGAACAATAATAATAATAATAAACAGAGCCCCCAGCAGTCTAATTTACACATTTCTGAAACGACGGCGGCGTACCATTACACTCGAGAACGTTCCCGAGACGATTTAGTCGCGGCGGCGTAGATCATAATTATCGTGTTTACTCTACCTGATGTATACGCATAAGCATAGTAGGATATAGGAAGTGAAAGAGGTCGAATGAGAAGGAGACGATGAGTGAGAGATAGAGGGATATTTTCGATTAATGTTCTCCGCGCGTTGCGTCTGCCAGAGAGAGGCGAACCTCTCAACGTTTAATAATGACGGCGGCTGCGAGTATACCACGGGGTCGGTCGTGGGCTGGTGGCGGCGGTTATGAACGACGGCAGCCCTTCTGTCGACGGAGAGAAGCTTCCGCTAATTGCGCTCTCCTCGCTACGTCCTCGCCTCGTCCACCGCACAACCGTACTACACTACAAATGTTCCGGACGTGCGGTTTTTCTCAACGCACTTCGTTAGTCGGCAGCCGGTAATTATTATCGCCACCGCGCCCTTCGCCCCCCAAAGTATCTTCCCCTACACAGTTTCCGGTCCCGTTTTCTTATGTATATATATAATGTATACGCGTTTATACTTTCGCGCGTGGCCTGTCCCGAAGAGGGTTGCGAAAGTTTTACCGCACACCATTATTGTAATGTATACAGCGACTGCAGCTACTACTCGTTCGCTGTATAACAATAATTGTTGTTGTTCGCCCGCCCGGACGATGGAAAAAAATAAAAATAAATTTTACTGTTATTAAAAACAGTGTAGGGACTTTTCATGTTTTATTTATTTTAATATACAACGTAGGTGCATATTATATATGTTTACTGCATACGGTGGAGAATCATGTTTCCCTATATATAGCTCTACTATTATATATTGAGGGCTTAAAGCACACGTGGATCCTTCAAAATAATTAAAACTTTGACCACACATTTTTATGTGCTTCCTTTTAGCATATTAATATATTTATTTATATAAACATGCAAAACTAATTTAATGGACTTAAAAAGTGTATATTTTGGAAAAAAGTACCTGTTATATTATGTGTGCACTAATGGCCATCAGTATTATTCTTCTCACTAGGACATCAGTGGAATTTTAGTTTTTGACTACCCTCTATAGTCTTAAAATATTACATTTCGCTGAACGTGTTTTTTTCTTCACTCCTGCAAGAGTTGTTCGTATAGGTTGGAGAAGGCCGCCCAACAGACTATTCGCCTGTGCATTTCTCATCATCGCATAAATCATTGCACACATCGATCCTGCAAACACTTACAACCAGAGAGATATTTTTTATAGGTACCGTTTATCGCGTGTGTTTATTATAATTGTGTTTTCTTATTATACGTGCAAATTCTTCAACTCATAAATTTATGTACGTTTATAAATCCTCACTCCACACACACTTATATCGATTCACAGAGTTATCGTCTCAAGTGTGCGTGCAACTCATGCGTGTACAGAAGAGCTTATTCGAATATAACATAATGGTTTGAAGTTTTGTACACGTATATGTGCCTTTTTTTGTGAAATCGATTATTGTATACTGTTATATAATAATATTATGTATTATACGTATGTATGTATATCTGGTATATTATGCAGTTTTTAGATGCCTAATCAACGTACAACGCTAATAGGATACTAATTTATCATAATTTTTTTGTAGTTATTAAAACGTAATTACCTAGGTACTTTTTGTATGTACCCATTTATTCCGTCGGGTTTTTGTTAATCTATATCTACTTGCGTTGTTTATTAGTGTTTAGTTATTGCAATTTTCCGAGAACAACGCTAAGTTTTTAATCTCCCATGTACGCAGACGTTTAAATAATAATTATGAAATGAACAAACTATCTTGATTTTTGTTCTTTCCTTTTCCGTACAGTGCTGACGTAAAGAAATTTCGTTCACACAGTCAAGTTCATTGTTGTTCGGTCTCTGCAGTCGTCGCCGCCGCACCGTCGCTGTTATTTCTCGCGTCCGTCAAAAGACTTCCGTTGTGTGTATATCGGACGACGCGGGGTGGTGGGAAAGGTTTTCTGTTTCCGCTCTCGAAAAGAAAACCCCCGCCGGTGTTAATGCCACTTGAGCGGTTTTTTTTCAAGTGTTTGAACAAAGCGGTTTGTTTGGGGAATATATACACTACCTCCGCCATTATAGTATATATGGTCTAAACAGCTTCAGGGCAGGGCGAAAAAGGCGTCTATAGTGCCGTTTTGTCAAAACAACTATTGCTGCATATATTATAAAAGTCCATTAATGATGTATTCGAACACAAACTCGGGTATTTTTTTTTATTTCTTCTCCATAATTACTCACAATAATGAATAAATTAACAAATTGTTTGAATATAATATGATGAAACTATACGCTATTCGGCCAAATTATATTGACTTTATAATATACTCGTATAAGAGGGTTTTTCATATACCTACATATTATTTTTTATGTAGACACCAAATATTGTATTATATTTGTATAATATTATTTATAGTGTTTAGTAAACACGTATGGGGGACTGGGCATATCGTATACCTATCTGTTTAAAAACTATGTGTAGGCCCAAAACGTTTATTACATGTCGTTTTTATTTTTTTTTTTTAGCAACAACGTCCAGATCTGCCCAGGTTATTGGTAAGAATCACATTCAAATTTATAAAAATATTATAAATTATAATATTATACAGAACCACATAATATATTAGCTATGTATATACTATATTATATATGTAAATTTTCGCGACAAAACCCGTCGCTCGTATAAACATATGCGATTTATAAATTTAACACTGAATAGGTTATACTGTCCTTTTATATAATATAGTCTTCTTTTTCTTCTTCATCACTCGAATGAACGTTTTGATGGCCTTCTGATTACTAAACGTTATTATACTACACCTAAGACCCGCTGTCTCTTGACGTCCAATACAAACGCCCGCCTCAACACCCTCCACTCATCACAACCCCCTAATACAAACATGGGCATTTAAGTACATACGTCGGACGTCCGTTTCTGTTTCAGCAACAAATGCACGCGCAGCAGCTACCGCACGCGGGTCATGCGCCACCCATACCAATGATGCCTCATCCCGGACTTCCGGGACCACCGGTAACCGCGTCCGCCAGCCTGCTGGGCTTGGCCGGTGCCGCCGGTTCCGCGTCTCATCCGTTGTCCATGCTGGGCGCCAAACCGACTGATATGCACAGGGTGCCGATTCTGACAAGCCTTTCGTCCGCCATCGGTAAGTGATTATTATTTCAATATGGCCTTATAATATCTTGTTATCGTTAAATTTATCGCCTTCCTCTTTGAACCACTCACACCTTATCGCTGCCACAGTCTATACTCTACCGTGGCTTTGTATGCGGTCACTATGAAGTTCAGTGAATACCGCCAACTCTTACCTATATAATATTATATATAGATACACTATATTATATGCAGCATCAAAAATGATCTCTTTTGATGGAGGTGCTTTTTTTTAAATGACCGTGCTGCAGCTTGAAGTGTTAATATGCTAATGTATACCTAAGTGCTCGAGACTAATATTCGTTGTCGTCATCAAAGGGATATACGGCGAGTGTATACAGATGGAGTGCTCGCTAGTGTTGAGTGGAGGAGAGGGGTGGAAAGCATCGGGCTGTAGAGTGTTGTAGACTATAGTATATAGACGAGTGAGATGGGGGTGCATACGCCCGTATTCGGTACGCTGTTTTCTCGAGTGGCCTATATACTGTGAAAAAGGGTTTTTATAATTTCCGCAGAATCCCTTTACCCCGCCACCCAACCTCTCTTCATCGTACACATCGTAGACGTATACACACACACATCGGTTCGCCTCGTATAATGTAAATATATATACCACTCGAAATAAAGTTACTTGGCAGTATATACATACATTATATATGTACTATATACATTGAGATTGGTTGGACCATTGTTATACGCGAGTATCCCTCTTTTTTTTTTTTTTCCGAGCCACTTACCCATAATCGACGGCGGCGGGCCATGTCCCCTTCGAGCAATATAAACGCCACGCACACGTACATATAATACATGAATATTATATTATATTCGTATACGAGGCCGCCGCGTGTGTGCAATAAATTGGCTGTTGTCTCATGTGCGCGGGGTCATGTACACGGCTGCGCGTTTTAGGAAAATAAAAAGACAAATTTTCTGTATCGAACGCGTTATGAGTGCAATTTTTTTTCTCTTTTACGTCGTTGTTTTCAGGTCAAGGGCGCATTTTCTTTCACACATGTTTCGCCCGAATTCGACATTATTATAATAAAAATTCCCGATTTGACACGATTTAATATGTATACAGTTACGCATTGTTACCGATCGGCTGGAACATTGTTGTAATTTTCTCTCGCCGTCTCCCTTTCCACATCACAAACACATCATTATATTATTCATTGTTTCGATATATTATCTTTTTTTCTACACGTCTATTGTTTCTTTTTTCCTTAAATAGTATATTAGTACAGCATATAGTAGTTATGTTATAAGTCCCAATCGCTCGATAGCTCCTCTTATCGAACAACTAAATCATTTTAGTTATATTATGTCATATTATTATTAACTATTATAATATTGCATCGTTAATTTTATTTTTATGATTTCAGGATTAAGTTCAGCTGAAGAAAGACACGTGAGTATATATTATGCTTACGTGATTAGGAGTTTATATCGTAGTATAGTAAATAATACATATATGGCATAGTATATTATGTTATATATATCGTTATTTGTACTGAAAATTATAATACGTATATATATATACGTTTATAGTTAATATGTATATAGTAATATATATATATTATATATATATGTACACATTATTTACGTTGTTGTTGTTGTACTAAAATGAGTGAGGTTTTCGCATGTAATCCACTGGTTTCGCCGTTGTCGCCGCCGCATTCACTATACAGCCACTTTCCAGGGATAAATCTTTGAGCCGCCAACCATAACAAATTTCCCGTCCGGGCAACAGCGTCAGCAAAAAGGGGGTTAAAATTAAATTAATGCACCCAGGATAGCACTTAATGAAGGGACGCCTTGTTACTCCGGTTGCCGCCGTCTCCGGTCGCTCGCTCGCCCTCGATCCCCTCGTGGTAGTTTCCCCGCACCATCAAACAAACAGCTATTGCAGTGTGTATAATGTAGGGGTCGTCCACCCTCCAACGCACCCTTGCCGCCGTCACAGAATAAGGGTTGGCTGCCGCCCCGCGTGTGTAATATCGGAACGAACCTCATCCATATGTATATGTCATCTGGTCGCACTCCCCACGAATTTAAATGCGTGTCAAATTCGATAGGGATCGGTCCCGCTTTTACCCTCTATTTCCTCTCACAAAAGAACCGACCGTCGCGCCGTTGCGTCCCGTATTATTATTATTATTATTATTATTATTCCGTCGCCGCACCCCGTAGCCCGTTTCTAACGCGGTCGCCCGTGATTTTCAACAGTTATTAATTTCTTGACGTGTACACTAATATATTATTTACACCCATATATATTGTACAAAATATAATACGTGTGCCGTTTATTTATATTATTTTCATCTTGTCCGTCCGGGTTTGTTGTAATTCGTCGGAAATATTATTATACATGTCGTAATTCAATACGGGTCTGCAGTCGAAGGGCTCGTCAACTATAATATTATATAGTTTCCGATTACACACCCGAACCGCACAAGCATTTCTATCGCGGCCACAGGTACCTCTACTGCAAACACTCGAGCAACCCCACTCGCGCTCGACCGCAGTATAAATAAAATCACCGTCAAGTCGACTGTTTTATATATATTGTGGGATTTATTTGTATATTTTATTCGAGTAAAGTATCGAATAGTATAAAGTAAAAAAACGCCGAAAGCGAATACGTCATAGTGTATAGTTATTGAATAGCGGGTAGATTACTGACTACTGTATACACAATAATATATAACATCGTCGTAGCCGTCAAATCGTATATTTATTTGTGTAGAAAACTTGGGGGATGAAAAAAAGAAAAACGGCAGAGAGAAAATCCGTGGAAATCCTCCGTAATCGAGGATTAGTTTTTTTCCGCTCGAGATATTTCTTCTTGCCAACAATCCGTTTCGTCTTGGACGGACGGCCCTTTTTCGACGACTACTACTACTACCACTATAGTACTACGACTTCGACGATCCCCCGTGGGGATGGAAAACGTGGAAAAATCGAGGTTATTTCTTTTTTTTCTTTTCTTTTTTCCTCCCCTCGTGTTATATATATACACATGAACCCTCGATCGGTAGAGCGGTGTAACAAGAGGGTAAACTCGTTTAAGGGCGTAACGATAAAGTAGGGAGGAAGAGCTGTGCACCCGATGCGGTAACGTTATTTTCCGGTCCGTTTCATCAACCGGTCGGCCTTTCTAGGGAATAACCCCGCAGGCTTGATGTGTGTGCGTGTGTATACGTATATACACGTACATAAAATACCCTCGCGTATAGTTGTGCCGACGGATGGGGTGGAAAAAAAAATCAAATAATGGTATAAAACAAGACTTCGAAGAAACGGATTACGAGGTCGACATAGTAATAAAAAAATATATATAAAAAATCCCTTAAGACTGTTTTTTTCCGTGCTACTGACGTTTTTATGCGTGCGCCTCGTACACACAGACGAACATTGGAAAACTTAAATTTCGACGAACTCTAATCGTTTGAAATTGAAATGTGATCGATATTATATGCATCATATATGTACATAATATACATAATATTGTATACACATGTATGCTTATGTATTATATATACATATTGTGCTCTTGACGTTTCAATCGATAATAAGTCATCGGACAATTATTATTACCTATATAATATTATTATATGCGTTACAAACGATAATACTACTATAAACAGCTTTCGGACGGTATTTGTGCAAAGTTATGTCGCATACTGACCGAGCGAGGGCGTCGTAAAACCTAACCCTACCTATATACTTAACCGGGCCGTGGTCTGCTCGAAGCCATTTTCACGACAACGATAACTTTATACGGACATGTCCTCCCGCATGTGACTGCCAAGTCTTAATGGGATTTTTTCGATTGCCTTTGACCTTGGCTGACCACGACGAAAAAAGACATTAGCCACACGTTATTATTATTATTATTACGGTTACCTACCATAAATCGTTTGTTTTATAGCGAACGGCAGCTAATAATTGGTTTTTTTTCCTTTTGCAATTACGCGCGTTGTTTGAGTTTAGTTTAGCTACCCGTTATGCGATAAGTGTTCAGACCTACAATACGATGTCCAGTTAATTTCTTATTATCTCAACTCGGCGAGTACGACAGTTGTATGTACGTTCCATGGTTCTATATTACCTATACTATTACGATTAATACTTCGTAAATATGTGGTTGACTTTTATTAAGATTACACCGCATAAAATCCATTGTTAGGTATTTAATTAAAAGTTCTTAAAATGATAATATTATATATATATTTAAAATAATTTGTTTTATCTATAGTTGTTCTTATATCCCTATTCAAAATGTATTATTATTATAATTATTATTAATGATATAGGTGCCTACCACAAACACTGAATATAACAACATCACATCATATACATAATAATCATCATTAATACATCATGTATAATTGCATATAATCATTATTAATGTAGTTCTTATTTATTTTTTCATTGAAACATTCGACTAATATTATCTGAAAACAAATATATATATATATATACGTGTATTTTTGATTGATTCTTTTTTTCTCGTCTATTTTAATTTCTGGAATCGTAATGAAAAAAAAACGCGTTATGAAAAATTATGTAATCTGTGGAGTGAATTAAAAAAATTAACTTGACTAAAGCTGCAATACATACATTTTTATCATTGCATCATTACCATACCTACTTAATATTATTGATTTTACACATAGAAGTGACCGGTGTGATACACGCACGACGTATAAGTAGTATACCGTAGATATAATATATAGGTATTATGAATTCTAATAACACATACACCACGGTCGTAGTTTATTCAGTTTTTGACGTAGGCATCTCGTCGGGAGAGTTAGCTCGTTTGCGTACAGGACTTACCGGTATACCGAGACCGTATTATGATGATAGTAATAATAATAATAATAATACTTTACGGGTAACGAGACACGAACATTATATTATATTATAATATAATAATGTTTATAGGGGACGCGATTAACTCTACCGATCTGGTGCTCAGATAAACCCCATTGTACACTGTGATTTGCATAAAATATTTTCTTCTTATACATCTGCTCCAAACAGTAACAGTCTGATAATTATTATTTTTTTTTATATTTAAATAAATATTCCTAGTTCCTATGTCTTGTAACGTGCAACAATGTAGCATGTCGTTAACATAATTTGTGAACAACATATAAATGTCTCTTGTTATTTCGGATAGATTGGCTGCAAGAGGTAATATTTTTACCACGGTCGATATTGTTATAATTAATAACGGATTGGTGGTGGCAGGGGTTCAAAGGGACTCGGCGTGTAATAATTATTGTAATCGGAACCATTAACACGAGGGCAGCAGCCGAAAGGGTTAATTTCGGAGACGCAACGACTAATCTCCGCGGTATTACTATAGGGGATACCACTTTCCGCCACCGACCCTATACTTGCGTTCATTCCGCCATCTCCACCTATACTACACCCTCGACCAAATCGATAAACCGCAACGGACCGTATATATATATATAATACATAATATATCTTATACCACCACGCGTACGGGAGAGAAATTGAGTTTTCCGAAAACAACAACTATATTATTATTGCACGTTGGGCGTGCAGAGTATATATTGCATTATCCCTTCACCGCCATAAACCAACGCGCGTGTGTGTGTAACAACGTGAGCGCGAGTGTTTTATTAAAACACGTGCCCACCCGGAGAGTCCGCAATCCGCATCATCGAAAACCGCCAACGCTGGACCCGAGAACCACACCGTCTAATTGAAATCATATAAATGATTATAATGACGATAATCATGACAAAATAAATGGGTACCAACAAATACGTAGCTAACCAATAAATAGGTAACAACATTGCGAGATTTTGATCCAGCTGGCGCATCCCACCGTTGTCAAGGTTCGACTCGTTTCATTGACCGTTAAATTACCCACCAAAATACAATAGGTATTATGTATTATCATACTAATATATTCTACCAATGAGAAGAAACGGCGAACCACTCAGAACCAGGCGTCTAGACGGTATGTGGAGTGATCGCCGAATAACTGTGCGTATCACAAAGTTGCTGACATATATACCTATTTACCTTGTCATGGCGATAATGTTATACTACACATTCACCCGCACGAACGTATGCCGTTCGATATTACATATTATTATATTACTCACCGACTCGACGTATATAATATTAGTAGTGTGTAGTAATAATATATAGGTACTAATATAGGACATAAGTATACAACAAATCACACATAAATGGCGCCGTAACAAATACAGTGTGTATTACAGGTACTTACATATATATTATTATGTATATATTTATTTATAGTTGTATATAATGTCAACACTATATACTCGAGTGGTGGTCGCGTTAAATTAAAATAATTTTCTCGCGTTTACGTACGTTTATTTTTTTTTTTGCACA